CGAACAGTCAGCAATACAGTCATAAACCGAGCAGCAAGTACGAACTCGAGAGAAGAATGGGGCTGCGAAAGCACTCAAAAGAAAACCCTGAAGACAAGCTCGCAAAAAGAATGCCAATTGCTGCTGCGCGGTTCTCGGGGGACACAATGTCGCGACCGCAGCGCCCATAACTCCAGCAGTTCTGGGTCAAGATCAATATGGCTGTTAGTACATAGGGGAAACCGAGCTGAAACGTAGATACGTACCCAAACCCATAGTCGATTAGCCTAGTACAAGGTACGGCGTGATGGATCCGTGTGGCTGCATGAAATACATGATGGAGAATGGCGTACCAACCCTTGCGAGCTGGTTTAGCACCAAAAACGGCTAATAGCAATAACAAACATACATTCACATTTACTAAGCCACAAAATTATTTCCCAATGACCCACAAACTGACGAACCTTGCGTCCGTAGACGTCTGACGCTTGGCCTAGCATCGGTGCCAGGAAAAAAATGAATACACAGCCTAGCGACGAGAAGAGGCTGACACAAACAATAGCGTCAAGTTCACCCCACATTCTTCACCGACTCCAAAACCAATAGTATTGATTCATTCCTCGACAACCAAGCCGCTTGTCTTGACCCTTCAGTGCACGCCTTTTTAGCAACAATTGCAACAATTATTAGCACGAAATGATTCATGCCATTTGTACTTAACCATAATGACTGTACCGCGTCGAGTGGGTTGGCTCCACAGTCAATTGGCAGTCCATGTCGATGCTGCCTGGCGAAATACTGCATACAATTAATGGATAGAGTGAGGATTGTCGATGGGACTGACACATTTTTGCTCATTTGCAGACCTCCGTCATGACGATGGAGAGGATGGGGTTCATGATGCTGAACGCCGCCTCCGTCAGGAACTGCAGCACCACGATGGTGCCGAACTTGCACGAGAAGCCCCGCTTCCGCTGCAGCTTGCAGGGCGACGTGGCGGCAACAGTGGCGCCGTGGCTCTTCCCTGTGGGTGGACGAGATGCTCTTCGAGGTGCTGCATTTTGACTGAGGGTCGCCCTTCTAGTCTGAACCCCATCGGAAAAATATGATCAGATGCGTTGAAGTGCTAGAAGTGCATTGAAATCTGGAATATATTTCTTAGCTTTACAGAAAAAAGCGTGCCTTGTGAGGCTAGCAACGGCTCTGCAAGCAAGTACCGTACCTCACACAAAGATTATTTTTGGTCTTTCTCATTTGGCACTCAAATTACCGTTAAAAAGCTCTCATTTCCTTCGAAAATGCTTTCCTGTTAATATTTAGCAGTTATATGCGTTTTGATTGGCTAAAATTACATTTCAATTTCAAAAAGATTGCCCCAGGTCTTG